TTTCCATGACCTGTGCCTGGTTACTCTGCCTTTAAAAGTCAGGCCAAGAGTGACTTCTTTACCTTCCTATCCTGGGTCAGATGCCCCCTTCCTTCTGTGTATTTCCAAACATGGTTCATAGATCTCTGCTGTGATGGACTGTTTCCAAAGATGGTCACAATAGTTCCTCTGATCCCTCACAACATTTTGTAATGTGACTTTGCAAGCTTGCTTCATTAAGAAGCAGAGCCCATTTCTCTTCCCCTTGCATCTTGTGACTAACTTTGACAACAGAATGAGGTAGAAGTGAACCTAAGCCTTAAGAGGAGTGTGGTTTCCATTTTCACTCTCTTGGAAGCTAGCCTTCATTTAAAGAAGCTCGAGCTACTCTATTGATACTGAGAGACCACATGGTAAGGGTATCCCTGTGAAGGAGATACAAGGTTCCCCAGACAACAGCCAGCACCAAGGTCTCAGTGGGTCTATACAGGATGCTCATTAAACATCATATGGAGCACAGACGGCTATCCCTACCAAGACTTGCCTGAATTCATAGCCCACAGAAATAATCAGCAACTGTTTAAAACTATTGAGTTTGGGGGGTATTGGAGTAGTTGTTATACAGTAATAAATAATTGCAACATCTATTATAGAACTTGTCATTAAATATTATAGTTATTTATTTACTTATCTGCCACATTGATGAGCTACTATTAATAAAGACAGAATATTTTCATCTGAATGGCTATAGCATCTGACGTATGAGAATGCTTTAGAATGATGAACCCGTGAAAAAATGAGACTCTTTAAGGAGATCTCAGAGAAACATTGTCATGTTGAGGATATGTTAAAGGAAATGAGAACCAAAACACAAAAGCTAGTAGAAAATGATTGTAGGAGGAAAGAGTGGATGAGCATTCAGAGCAATTGCAAGGAATCTCCAAAACTTGTAGTTTATGAGTTCTCTTTATAATTGGTGAGATTATTGACCACTGTCTCCATCAGTGTGCAGCTTAGACGATCCCCACAGACATGAATATTTGGTATGGATGGAGGTGTAACAAGGGCCTGTCAGGTAGCGACCACTGTGTGCAATTAAACTGTAAGTCATGGTTCTCACTGTCCAGAAGTTTATACTGTAACAGAGAAGCAGATGTACCAGGACATTGTAGGCTTCAGAAGGATATGAAAAAGTAAGGAGAACAGAGGCTCATATTCAATGGTTACAGAGCTAGGAAGGATTTCCAAAAATCTGCCTATTCTTTCCCCTTCAGGGAACATTTATTGAGTACCAACTGGGCATGGCCCTTTCTCTTATGCTGAAGCTTCACCAAATTGAGAGAAGTGTCTCAAATGTTCTGCACTCTGTCATGCCTCACAGCCTTTGCTTTTTCCCTCCTTCCTTTCTGGAATGATTTATGACCTCTGCTCCCCTGCCCCTCACCTAGCAATGCTTACATTCATCTCTGGGGTCCCTCTCTCTTCTTTTCTTTATTTGGCCCCCAGGAATAAATGCCTTATTTGCTTTGCCATTTCAAATGTCTCCAAATTCAGTCGGAGTCCTCTCTGCTCTACAAAGCCATCATGGGCCACCCCAACCTGGGGCTTCTTAGAATATAGTAGAGAGGAAACTGGCTTTGGAGCAATATGGATTTGGGTTCAAATCCTGGCTCTGGGGCCTGTAACTCTGCACAGGTTCCTTAATCTCTTATGTTTTTTCATCTGTAAATTGGACATGATGCTACCACTTCACGGGGTTGGAATGAGAGCCCAGGAGATTGTTATGTAAAGTGTTTAGTTGAGTCCTGGTATATAGCATCTCACTGATATAGGCCATTGTTTTCCTTCTCTCTGAACTTCCGGTATTTAATATCTGTACCACGCATTTGTCCTTAAATCATAGGTGCTTTGTGACAGCTCTTGTCCTGTACCATCATTTAACTTAATGCATTTATTGCTCAATTTGCATATAAGCTTTTTCCTAATAGCTAAATAGTCCTATTTTGTACATCTTTATATGTCCCAGGGACAAGAGATTCTTAATAAATATTGGTGCGTGAACAAATAAATGGTAGAATGAGCAACTACCTCTCAGGTCTGTCTATACTACATTTTGTAAAGTACAACATCCAGGGTCAAAAACTCAGCGAATTAGAATACTCTAATGTCGGGACATTTTTGTTTTCTAGGGAAGGAGTGATTAGGGAGAAGTTCAACAGTTTTCCTTGATCCTATAGGATCAGGGTAACAAGGGGTAAATGCAGACCCCCATCCCATGAAAAGGTAACTTGGAGGCGATGCAGTATTTAGAACAAAGAAGACACTGGGACTACCTCCCCAGCTTCAGGCTTTCTTAATATGAATGTATAGCCAGGTCAGGATTAATGAGTGGGATTGAAAAAGCAATTATGTGACTAGTAATCCCCAGTTAATTTTATGGGTATTAAGTAAATAGGAAATAACAAGTTTGAGTTAAGATATTAAGGGCCCTTCCATCATGTATATGGATATGCTCATGAGCAGAGAGAATAAATCCTTTAGGACAAGAGTGTTCTGTTACTGACTGAGGGTCCATCTGTCAGAAGTCGGAGGTAGGATGACAAATTACGAGTTAACAAATAAAGAGACTTAATCAGTGATGAAAACCAAGAATCCGTGCATCCTCAGGTCATGTAGGGTTTAAAGAGAAAACAACACACAAAAAGGTCAAGCTCCAAAAAACTCCAAAAAGGAACTAGAAGTTTTCCAGAGAGAAGGAGTCCGCTCCCTTGCCCAACTTGGTATCGGGGTAGTGAGCTGGGCTCTCCCACGAGGGTGTTGAAACCAGGCTACACTGGGACAAAGAGAAGGAAGGTTCTAAGGAGAGTGACTAACAATGATTTGCATACTCTTTTTTGCACCAAACAACCCTTTGTTAGGAGTCCCACAGGGTCCTGTGACACATAAAAGAAACAGAGGTATTGCTGTATGATTGCAAAGAAGCAGGAAGAGAAAGCATGAGGGGATTTTGGGAGAAGCTAGTACAATCTTCGATTCTACTTCCTACGACCTTAAGCCTGGCAGAACGTGTTGGGAAGACCACGGGCCCAGGAGATCTGTAAGCCTTTATGAATTGCTCTTGCCAACTGTCAAGGGTTTGGGTTAAGATCTGTTGGTTGAAGTTCTCTAAAGCAAAATGTACTAAAACTAGTGACGACGATCATGCAGTCAAGATGACTATCTCCTCCTCAAGGGGGAAAACAGGCCCTTGTCTGTCTTCCTGCATCAAGATCTCAGCTGGGTTTATTCTTTCTGGAAAATATTTTTCAAGTCATAACTGAGGCTTTCAGTGGAAGCCAGTTCCAACTTAGGAACACCTAAATATATCTGAACCAACAGGTTCTGGATGGCCCGTCAGAGGGAGCTCTGGAAGAGGCAACAGCTGTCCTCCTGTTTCCTTCTGCTCTGAGATAGGCCTTGATGTCCAAGGGTATTTTCTATCTTACAGGAGTATTAGTAATGAATCTCGAGGATCTTGAGTTTCATCTTTACTTAGGAGTGGTTGTAACCATTTAGCTAAGTTTCAAGCCTCAGACACGAGAAGGTGGTTAGAAAACCAAGATAAACTAAAGAGACAGAAGAACAGCTTTGAAGGCCTTTCTGCCCAAACGAGAGGCCTCAGGGTCAGACTGGATGAGAGGGTGAGCGGTTGTGTGGCCGGTGTTTCCAGCATTTCAGGGGATAGGAGCATCTTGGGTGGTTAGCCCTCTGAATCAACACTGACAGACAGAGGGTGGATATTATTAGGATTGCCCTCTGGGGAAGATAGGGGTTGAATGTTTTCTCTTCATATCGTGATACGTTTCAGATACTCTGCTGGGTCAGTGGACCCGTCCAAGCCTAGGGTAATGCCTATTGTTAAGAGGGGAACACATTTTGGGACACCCCCCCACCCAGGCTCCAGAGTGTCCCTCCCCACCCACCTCTTCGAACTGGAAGAATATATTCAATTCACTGAGGTCTGGGCCAGCCCCCAGCCAGCAATGCCTGTCCTGTGATCTTAGATCAATCTGACCTTCTTCCTGGGTGGGTGCTGGCTCCTTGGGGACGGATGTGTAATGCGGGACTGCACAGGTTCCCTGCCCAGCTGTGCATTTCCCAAGAGTGAAGCCACCTGTTTGGCTATGCTAATTTGCTCCTGAAGCAGGTGAGCTCACCTGTGCTGCTTTAGCAGAGGGCATTACGTGAGAAGGAGGGCACTGCCTTTTCACAGCTGCCTCGTACACCCGGGCTCCGTCTTTGAATACACTGACAACATTTCTGAAGTTTCTCCCCCTCCCCGGCACATCCCCATCCAACATTCTGTCAGCGCGAAGAGCCAAGAAAGACAAAAAAGTATCAAATGGGAAAACAATGAAAAGCCTGTTTAGTTCCTGTGTGCAGCGCGAACAATAAGCCACCCTTTCTGAAGTGTCTCAGAAAGGAATGCCTGTGATGTCCTTTCAAAGAAGGGCTCTGGCCCCAAATCAAGCTGTAAGCCATGACAATACTCCACTAAACAGGGCAAAGAATTCGCCTTTCAGCCAGAGAGGCATTTCTCCTGCACTGGGGAAAAATGCCGCCCACACCACACCACCTCAGCACATTTACTATCCCTGCTCTTTTCCTTCCCAAGCCCGAGGAGGGTAGCCTGCTGTGATCCTTTGATGCACGGAAATGCAGGGGACCAGTCTGAACAGTCAGCGCTTTGCCCCCCAAAATGCTCACAACAAAGCAGAAGTCTAGTAGGTTATGTTCGTATTGGGGGGAGTTTAAGGCTCTCGGGTCTGTGTACCCGCTCTTGTACAGAGACATGCTCCCCCTTCATCCACGGCTCAACTTTTTCGTAGCCAAGCATTTGAAATTAGCCGAAGTGTCAAAACACATAAAACATTTCAGAGGAAGGACTTTCAGTGTGGCAGCTCCAAGCTCCAAACAGCCTCGGAGAGAAGGAGGGAGAGAGGTCCAAGTCATTCAGACTACAGGGAGTTCTCATCTCTTACCTGGGCTTCTTTTACTATCCCATTCTTCGGGCAGTTTCCACTGGCTGAGCCGTCGCTCTGTTTCTCGTGATTGTGCAGATTCCCGTTGCAAATAGCACCACCTCCAGGATTAGCCATTTGTGCGAAATGCTAGAATCCAGCAGGTTTCCTTCCAGAGGTTCTTGGCAAGCTTTGGCTTGGAAGTTGGAGAGGGGATGGGAGGAAGCACTTTGGGCTGAGCCCCTGAAGGAATCCTACCGATCAGGCTTTCCAGGAGAGCCGCAGCCTATCTTTGGGGCAGATCTTTGAAAGGAAAAACAAGTGGTTACCTTTATACTCCTCAGCTCAGAATGCAACCTTCAGGGCAACAGACCTGCTCCTGAAGCTACAAAGGAGATTGCCCATGCTGGCTCCTTGGGGGGCAAGAGGAAATCAGGAGACTGCAAAACCCCAGTGGCAAATTGCAAGGAGGCGGGCTGGGAGGTGGAGCATCTTTTAAAGACACACACACACACACACACACACACACACACACACACACAGCACAGTCAAGGTCTCCTACATGTAGTCAGTTCCGAATTTACGTCTACCCCCACCCTCTCCCTCCTGTATCTAATTACAACTGCTGGCTGTAAACTGCTCTTTTTTTTTTTTTCCTGTGGGAAAAAAAAACACTTCACAGTGGCTGCCAGGACTGCCCAGAGGAAGAGGAGAATGAGAAGTTACTGTTTCAAGGGCACACAGAGTTCGAGCTGGTTCCGTGGGTGACGGTGATGGCTGCACAACCATGTGACCATACTTCATGCCACTGAACTGTACACTTAAAAATGGTTAAAATGGGAAATTTTGTGTCATGTGGATTTTACCATAATCCAAAAATGGCCAAAAAAAAAAAAAAGTAATACTATTCAGAACCCACCTGATGTTAAAACCAGGGATATAACGAGAGGAGTAACTCATCAAGGATTCCAGGAGCGCACAAATCTGGGAGACAGAAAGTTCAGTTTCTTGTGAAGTCTGCATTATCACGTGACTTTGGGAGAGCCGTTTACTCTCCTTTGCCTCTGTTTCTTCAGCTAAGAAGGGAAAAACATTTCAGGTGGGCTAATGTCCAGTGGGATAGCAGGGAAAGATATGTGTGGCTTGGGTTTGTTCCTGACACAGGTGTTGTGAGGCAGGTGGCGTCTGCTGTGTCCCAGTCCTGAACACCTGTGGTTTACTCATTAACTCTTATTCTCTCAGTGCATTAGGCATCTGCGTTCCATCACCATCAGATGGCATTGTGCTTTTGGGACAGTGTCAATCATTTACAGCCTGTTCCGTCCTCCCAAGCCCACTGTTACGATTCCCCTGAATCAGACTTTTTAACATCAGGCACATGGGAATAAAAACCCCAGCCATATACTGGGCCAATGGACAAAAACAGAGACACACACATTAGCAAAAAACAAGAACAGAAAAAATAGAGATGGCCCCTGTAGTCAGAGCCTCATTTCTTGGTTCTCAGCTCTCCTGAATAGGGTTTGTTTTCCCTCCAGAAAGATGTGGCTTATGGCGGAGGTGATGATAAAGCCTTTTCTAACCATGATTTGCATAGGAGGGTTGCCATCTTTTCTGCCCCAGGGAGAGCGAAAGGAATAAGATAAGGTCTTGGGCTAAATGATGGGATGGGGCTAATCCCAAGTGTGCCCACCCCTTGGTGTCTCAAACTCAGAATTTTTAGTGCATTTCTTCCAACTTTGTCATCAGAGCAGAACTAGCTTTTTACTGGTCTCTCTCTTCCATGGTTGTTATGCTGGGAGTCAATCTGTGTTGGATATTTCCTTCTAGACTTACGCAAAATGTCAGAAGGGGTGCCTGTGTGGCTCAGTTGTTAAGCATCTGCCTTCAGCTACGGTCATGATCCCAGGGTCCTGGGACTGAGTTCTACCTTGGGCTCCCTGCACAACGGAGAGCCTGCTTCTCCCTCTCCCACACCCCCTGCTTGTGTTCCCTCTTTCTCTGTGTCTTTCCCTGTCAAATAAATAAATAAAATCTTAAGAAAAAAAAAAGAAAATATAGGAGGCACACGATAACTGCTGGCCTGACTGCCCCAGCTTACTTAGGAAGACAAGTTGAAGACACAGTGTTATTTTGACTCAGCTCTAATGATCCATACAAGATTATTTTTGGAAAAAAGATTTCAAGATAACTAAATTCTGAACGTTAGGTATTTCTATCCCACCTTCTTTTCTTTTCTTCTCCCTTCTCCTTCCCTTTTGTGTTTCAAATTTCCACTTTTTCCTTTTTTCCTACCCTTCTGTCTCCTCCTCCTCCTCCTTCTCTTTTTATTTTTCTTTACTTTCCTTTTACAAGGGGACAAAAACTGTATGTAAAGAAAACATCTTAAAACAAAACTGAAATCTGCATCATTTTGTTTCCCCTCATCCCAATTACCAACATTAAGTAATCATTCATCAACCTTCAGGAAATACCTACTACATGTTCTTACCCTTGAAACTTTTCTACTTTACTTGACGTGTTGGGATATGTGAATTGTTATATGCACAAAATCATCTCAACATATCAGCCATTTAACATCAGGTACTGTGCATATGTGTAATCATGGTGACTCATTGTTTCTCCAGTCAAAAGAAGTGTGGCGATCTCTTTGAGTTGAGTTGTAGCTTTGAGTTTAAGGACATTGATTGCTATGGTCTGAATCTTTGTGTCCCCCTAAATTTACAGACTGAAATTATGATCACCAAGGTGATGATATTAGCAAGTGGGGCAGCTGGGAGGTGATTAGTTCCTGTTGGGGGATTCCTTGTAAATGAGATTAGAGCTCCCTTGCCTTTTCAGCCAGGTGAGGTAACAGTGAAAAGATAACCATTTAAGAAGTAGGCTCAACTCCATCAAAAAGGATGAATACCCAACTTTTGTATCAACATGGACGGGACTGGAAGAGATTATGCTGAGTGAAATAAGTCAAGCAGAGAGAGTCAATTATCATATGGTTTCACTTATTTGTGGAGCATAACAAATAACATGGAGGACATAGGGAGATGGAGAGGAGAAGGGAGTTGTGGGAAATTGGAGGGGGAGATGAACAATGAGAGACTATGGACTTTGAAAGATGGGGGGTATTATGGAGGGCACATAATGCATGGAGCACTGGGTGTGGTGCATAAACAATGAATTCTGTTACACTGAAAAGAAATTAAAAAAAAAAAAAAAGAAGAAGAAGAAGAAGTAGGCTCAAATCTTCCAGTTCCTTGATCTTGGACTTCTAGCCTACAGAACCATCAGAAATAAGTTTCTTTTGGTTATAAGCTACCCAGTATAGGGTATGTTGTTATAGAAGCTTGAACATATTAAGATATCAAACAACACTTAAACACCAACTAAATATTGGGTATGATTTGGTGTCTCTGAATAATGAAACACACTTCAGATTAACCAATAAACTTAATAAATATTCAAATAATTGCGATGTATTAGGTATTCACTAAGCTTTTCCATACAACAATGAACGGGACAAGCACAGACTCCACCCCCCAAAACCAAGAGTTAGAAGCACCTTCATATCTTCTACTCAAGATACCCCATTAGTGAAAGTAAAAAGAAACCTGTCCATTTGTGTATTAAAGGCAAAGATGAAATTAGTTAACCATGGCCTTCTGGTATTCTCTGAAGGGAATTTTGGGCCCAGATGCCTGCTTATAGAAGTAGGCAAGAAAGAGATATTCAGAGGCTTGATAACATGTTCCAAAAACATTGGCAGAAAAGGGAGGAAATGAACAAAATAAATGGTCAGAATTTTACAGTGTCTAGAAATCTATTCATTCTCTGTGACTTGATCTTTACTTATGTATTGGAGTGTGACGCTGATGCGAAAACCAAAGTTGCCACAAGTTAAGTGACTTTCCAAAGACACAGGGCCATGGGGCAGAAACAGGGGTGAGAGCTCAAGCTAGAATCTCTGGGTCCGGAGCAAGTCCCTTTCCCACATATCATGATAGCTCTCCTTCAGACAACCATCGACTGCTACAAAGAGAAATAACAGAAGGTGTTATGTTTTGAGACATTTTATTGAATTAGCAAAATAAGAAATAAATTTTTATTTTGCCTCCTGATCCCTGAAAGTCTTATGTCTATTAAATAAATGCAAACATCAAACAATACCTCCATTCCTCCTGGGATTGGATAGTCTGGGATTCCTCTATAGAGAAGTATTTAAATTCCCTAAAGAATTCAGTCTAGAAAATTTTCGGTGTCGAAATAATTCAGATCAAAAGGGTTTCTTATCAATAGTTTGTAAACACCATAACATCAGAAGGTCAGATACCAATGCTACAGATGTCAGGCATCAGATTTTGTGTTGTTGTTTTTTTTTCTTTCGAAACATTGGCTACTAGAATGGCAATGCTATTTGAAGTTAGAAAAAACCCTGTTATTGATGACTCTTACCCCAAAGTCAGCAGCAGTGGAGTGATTTTGTTTTTCTTCATTTATAATCATCCTCCAGGAGTGGTGTGCCTGAGTCTTTGGGGCAGCAGTTACCTTCAGAATGCCCTCAGCAAAGCCTATGGATGTCTGGACTCTTCAGCTGTTGAACGGCATCTGTTAAAAGAAAACTCCAAACTTATTATGTAAAGTGGAGTAAATCAGAAAGAGAAACACAAATATCATATCATATCACTTGTATGTGGAACCCAACATAAAACAAATGAATATACAAAAAGCAGAAATAAACCCATTAATACAGAAAACAATCCGGTGTTGCCAGAGGGGAAGGGGGTTGGGGGAAGGGAAAAATGGGTAAAAGGGAGTGGGAGGTACAGGATTCCCTGAATAAGTCATGGGGATGAAAGGCACAGCATAGAGAATATAGTCAACGGTATTATAACAGAATTGTGTGGTGACAGCTGTAGCTACACTTGTGGTGAGAATAGCATAATATATAAAGATGTTGAATCTCTATATTGCATACCTGAAACTAATGTAAAATTGTAGTGTTAACGTTGTGTGTCAACTACACTTCAACAACCATCTCCTCCCTGCCCCTCCTCCCACAGATTTTCAGGGTTGAGACTCTGAAAACATAAAATTAGGTACTTCTCAGAAGTATGCCAGAGCCTCTCCTATAACCCAGCTGTTCCAGATGTTTGGGGATGAACTCCTCATGAAACCTACCTAGTTTTGTTAATCAGAAAATTTTATTTTTGTCACTAGAGTTTCTTAGTTCCCTTAAGGAATTCTTAGCACAAAACAATGATGATTTACTTAAGTGGGTTTTAAATTAATATTTGACATATTAAATTACAAATTGAAAACCTAGATAAGTTCAATCTATAAATCTTTTTTCCCTCAATCTATAAATCTTGTTATGACTTTTGTATGAAATAAGAAAACTGTGCTAGTGATTATGAGTTCTCTAATATTTGACTGATGCATGTTGAGTAGGCTAAATTCTCCTGAAA